TGGGGATGTAGACTAGTTTGAATCAATTTTGGAATATGTGACATTTATAGAGTTGAACAGGTAATCATCGATAAAATACGATCCAATCTTAATAAAACCAAATTTGGGTGTGGGTGTGGGTATGGGTATTCATAAAGGGAATATTAACCTCCGTACCCAAAGATACCCACACCCACATTCACATCTACACCCACACCCACCCACACCCACACCCACACCCACACCTACACCCATACCCACCCACACCCACACACCCCCACCCCGACACCCACACTCATATCCACACCCTTTTTGTTTTTCTTCAACATTCTTGTTCGGCACACTCGAATTTGTGATCGACGAGAAGCATTCAATGAATAAACTTGTTCCAGATATCATAGTATGCTGTTATATCATGGACTTCTGTCTTTTTCACGAAATGAAAAGATCTTTTCTTTATCTTTATATGTTCTTTATTTTTTTTAAATAAATAATTTATTTATCTTTATTTTCTAAATATAAAGATTTTATTTATCTTTATTTTTCAAATATAAAGACTTTATTTATATTTATAAAGTAAAGTAAATATAAAGTAACACCCCTATAACAGATTATGAGAAAGTGATGATCGAAACACATAGACTAGAGTCTTCTTGTTCCTCCAATGTTGTGCCCAACATCCTGAATAATAAGAGGATACTATGACGAAAGGAATTTTCGCATGTGTATTTGTTTTAGTTTTGAAGTATACGCCACGCTCGGAAGAAAATGATGGGATGAAGTTCAGTCCTCAAAAAGCAAGGTTCATTTTCATTAATAGAAAGGACGAAATCCGCGATGTTCTTATACATCCAGAGCCACCTTGGCACATCATAAATAATGAGCTTGTATGCTCATCATGGCTCTGGGTCGCAGTTATAAGTACGTGCCGGAAACTTTGCGATGATCTTCGTGATAAGAACAAACGAAAGGGTGTAAAATGAGTAGTCGATGCGGTTTTCATCAACTTTGGTTAGTGGGAGACACGTGGTTCACGAGAGAAATATGCAATCGATTGTCATGGTCAATCAGATTTTTTACTTTCGGTCGACTTGATTGATAAATGTGATGATCATGTCTTCGTCCCATCTAAACGTCGACAAGAAGCATCACCTAACTATCTGTATGAAAATGTCAAGTCTTTCGAAGATGAACGGTTACTTCGCTATGAGCTGTTGGCTCTTCAACAAGATATGAGAAGTTCTTTAGCGACAATTAAGAAAATAGAACAGAGCGAGACAAATCGTAATGAGGAAATCAATAAGATACTCGAACTTCGTGAATGTGATGTGAAGAGTCAAGATGACACTGAAGACTCAAATATTAGTAAATCATTGGTGAAGAAACGATGCACATACTCGCATACAAACATCTATCAGCCCTACTTGAATTCATATTCGAACATGATATATTCTTATTCATATCTAACAAGGGAATATCTGTAGTGGTAGCTTAGTTTAATCATCATAGACTGGAATCGGTCGGATCCGGTTGGATTAGATGCCAGATGAAAACTCTGTAGAAACTATAACAGACCCTCCATTTAGATGTTCTAATAACTTTTTTTATTCAAAATAAACACCGTATCATATTATTACTACTTCTTATCATACTCAATTGTCCGACGAGCCTCTTTGAGTTGTCTCAAATTTATTTCATGAACTTTTATTGTCAGTGGTACACAATGGGATTTGGTTGCTTATGATTAAAAATAGATTCATGAATAAGTTCTTTACGAAGAGTGTCTCGGAGCACTGAGTTGTTGTAATAATCTAGCCAGAGTTGGATCAATTTGCGCAGAACCATGAGGCACATAGTAAGATCAATGAATAGTAACGTCCAAAACGTAGAGCTATACAAGTCAGTAGTGCAAGAACTGTTTAACTGCAAATTGTCGGACACTGTTAACGTTGTAGTGATGGAGCCACACTTCGATAGAATAAATGTCTTTGTAAGTGGCCCATTACGCTCTGATCGCTTGATGTACCAGATTCTTACGAAGAAATAGTGCAAATATGATATCATTGCATATCTTGCCCATTGTGCATATTTCAGTAGATCTTGACTAAACTGCAAGCTTGTGAAAACTACTTTGCATGCCTTGCAGAAGTGATAGAATATATCCACAACAGCATAGAGTAGCGTCGTATAAACAAATGCACCATGAAATGGACATTTTCGAAATTCGTTCACATACATTCGAAGAAGATCACGGTCGTACAGAATTGACTCGCATCTGGTATATGTAATCCAACATAACCACGAACATAAGAATATGCCAATTATATTGCAACCAAATTCTATTCTTTTTTCAAGATTTTGAACCCACGATAAAAGTTTTTCGAGTTTTTGTTGCTTTTGTCTTACCGTAAAATGCATCGAGTTGAAAGTAAGAAAGAATCATCAATAATGTTGTTTTTTGCAATACTCACATGCTTGATTTTCATTCTTTACTTATTCAAGAGAAAATGAAATGTATTGGAAAAAAACCTAACTGTTATTTATTCATGCTTCGTATTGCACAACCTTTGGGCAATGATCAAAGTTTTTTAGCGAAAGAAATATGACACTGATTGACTGCGTTGACTCATTGGTTGGAATATGAGTCAACGTCCGGAAGCATAAATCAAGTTCGAAACTAAAGTTTAACTCAGAGAAATTGTCGAAACAAGAATATCAAATTTGGATTATTTTCTTGACTGATCTTAATAAACAATAATTTACTTTTTTATGCTCATAATACACTCGGACAGCATTTTTCGAACGGATAAAATCATATGCAATTATTTATTAGTGTCAATCAATACGAAATGATTCTTTAACCATATCATAAATCTGGCTATGAGGATGATGGGTGTGTGGGGTGTGTGAGGGTGTGGGTGTGGGTGTGGGTGCGACTGTGGGTGTGAGCATTTTTCTTGCATGACCCATACGCCCACTCCCACCCACCCCCCACAGCACATTCACACCCACACCTGCACCCACACCCACACCTACACCCACACCCACCCATACCCCACACCGCATTCACACTCAGACCCACACCCACACCCACCACACATCCATGCAACACGTTATTCCTTGTTTGACGTGTGAATGTGGGAGCGGGTCTTCTCTTTATTGAAAATCACACCGCACACCCACACTCTTCAAAGTTCGCTACAGCGAGAGTGACGATGTAGACGACTGCAAGGTAGAGAATTCTGTTTTTCAATTAATCCATGTCTGCTTCTTTAAAACAGAAATTCTTTCATCAATGTCAACCTACTGATGTCACAAAAATGTAATGTTGTTTGTCGCCATCATGATACCATGAGTGCCGTTACTGAAACTTCAAAACGTTTGTTTCCCTCTTCTTTGATTGCGATGTTGAAATGGCATGAAAAGAGAAACTTTTTGATGTGTTGTACAGGAAAAACAAGTTTTTCTTTGTTTACTCTAGTTAACAACCGATGCCGACTAAACACACATACTTTTACTTTTTTTTCCTTTGCACATTGTTCGCCGGTAAGAAACAATACTTTTTTCAAAAGTAGATGGCATTGATTTTTTTTGAAACAGTAATTATAATTTCGCAGGATCATTCTTAATTAAGACTTGCTGCTAGGTAATGGTGGTAGATACTAAATCAAACTGTGAGCGTTGTCCCCAAACGATAGGGAAGGAATTCATGAATTCACAGAGTGACGCAAAAGTCACTATACTCAGAAAAAGTTTAATATTTCCATTACGTCTCGAGAAAACGAGCTAATTGTTTTATCAATAATAGAGGCGCGTTCAAGCTGCATTTCCCTAAAGGCAAGCCTAGAGAGACTATTCAGTAATCATGACCAGTAATCTCAAGAAAAATATTTAGGTTTTCACAGATATATGCAGACAATACTTAACAAAGAATCTCTCTAGGCAAGCTTTATGGATGTAAAACTTGAACACTTCCTTATCGTTGCTAATTAAAAAAAATATCCACTCATTGGCTCGTGCCGCAATGGAGTTATTTAGTTTTCATTCGATAGAGTAACGTTTTGCGTCACTCTCTATTTTAGGAAATAGTTGGTTTGTCTATCAGTATGCGAGGAAGACGCTCTCGATTTGTTCAAATCTAAGGCTGTTATGCTTTTGACACACCTATTTTCATTATCTCGGAAAGTTTGAGAGTTGAAGGGTTCATTCAAATGTTATTCCATGCAACTTGTTACGGTCAAACTATGCTGTAGGAATAGCATTATTTTTTTTGACTAAAGTCCCATTCTTCTAGAAAAACTGTATCATCATGTAACAATGTTTCATAAGAAGACTTTCTCAAGTGTCGTTGATAAAACCCTAACTTCTTGCAAAAGCAGTTGGTCAGATGGAATACGTTTAGAGTCAATATTCTAGGTTACTGAATGGGCTTCTCGAAGCATTGAAAAATATTTTTTTATTAAAATTTTTGACTCAGAGAAAACGGTGACAAGGATATCGGTGAGTCCGAATGTCTAGGTATGAATGCGTCCGTTTTCCTTTCACTCATACCTATATCTACAACTACAACGTCAGATCGGCGCCGACATGCATATCGATCAAAAACAACGGCAAAGAAGCCTAGTACCTAGCACAAGCCGTTACCTAGAAACCTAATATCCACCAGAACAACTCTGAAGCAATCACCTGACACCCCTCGCAAATTGTGCCGGGCGGTCTTCAAAGGCTACGATAGAAATTGGCAGAGAGAATTGGCACCTTTTAGAGACAGCCGCAGAAAAATAGGGGTGTGGGTGTGGGTGGTTACGGATGTGGGTATGGGTGTGGGTGTGGATGTGGGTGTGGATGGGTGTGGATGTGGGTGTGCGTAGGTGTGAGGTAGGTGAGAGTGTGGTATTCACATAAACCTACACCCACACCCACACCCACACCCACACCCACATCCACACATGCCCACATTCATTCTCACCCTCACACCCACACAGCCACAGCTTCAGTGACCAACACCCACACCCACACCCTTTCTTTTTGTTGCACCTTCAGATCGAACAAGTGCTCTTTGGAGTGTCAGCTATTTATCTGATACAACTCGTGAATCGAAAGCTGCTGGAACAATATCTGATAATGAGATTGATGAGATTTTAACTGAAGCTAAAGAACGTACAAAAGTTTACGGTGAACCAATGCCTACATTATTCAAAGAGACATTACGTAGCAGTGTTGCTGTTTTCAATGCCAAAGATATGACACCCTTTCGAAATCATGGTTCAGTTATTTTCATTGGTGATGCTCAACATGCTATGAGTCCATTTGCTGGGAATGGAGCAAATATGGCTATCATGGATGGTTATCAACTTGCAGATCAATTAGTTCATGCTAAAGACTTAACGACAGCAATACAGTCTTATGATTAGGGGTGCAACGGTGACGATTAATCGTTCATCGTTCTATCGTAGTTACCGAAGAGCGGTGAAATAATCAACCGGTGAAACGATCCCCGGTGAAACGATCACCGGTTGGACTGATTAAACGATGGCTGATTGTAGTTTGCCGAAGATCTCGAAATCGTATACTTTTTATAAAGCCTGTGAGCCTGGAAAGCGACTTCGGCACATGTTCCTAATTAGAGCAGTTTTTCAAATGTCTTACAGGTTTCATTTTCTTTTTAACGATTTGTATATCAATAAATGGATTTTTTTTATATGTTTAAGTAGGGGTAGATCTGCTGACTCAATCGATGAGAAAATCATTTATTTATCTTGAAAAATAGCTGAGTAATTAGCGATAGTTCGTCAATGATTGAATTTGTCCTTCTCAGGGATTGCTGTGCCTATTAACAATACTAAGCAAAAACTGGTTTTAATAAGGACAGTCTATGTAAATTAAATAGAAAAGTAAAATATTTTAGCAAATGAATGTTTTGACTAACTAAACTTGAAATTTTCATATTGTACTTCACATAAAAAGAATGATGCACTTTATTACACTATGTTTTCCTGTAAGAAAATGAATCCCTTTATCAAAATATGAGACTCGAAACAATTACATATAATTTGATTATTTTGAATGATCTCGGACAATTAAGGTTTTTATCGTGGTGAACTGATTTTGATCGTGCATAGATTACAATATGAATTTATATAGACGCTCGAAACTTCCGCCTGCAATATAATAGATTGCAGGAATAATGAATACAATTACAGTGATATGTAACCTATTTCATTCAATTCAATTTAATGCATTTTTCTGTAAATGATGCATTAGAATACATGAAATAGGTTCTAGCATCATGAGACTGCGTCAACTATTCCTATGATCACTTACCTACAAGCAACGAAAACACTGTTTATTATCAATAGAAATCAAAATTGGGTTCAAAAATTTCACTTATCCATGTCAATCCTGGTTAGATATGAGACTGTCTGGGGTTAATTTTTAAATGAAGTTTACTATGATCTGTCATGTTTATGAAGGCTCGGATAAAAGAAATTACATACAATATCCGAAACTTTCTCTACAGTTATACTTTTACTTAGTAAATTAAAGAGTTTAATTTTTAGCTGCTTATATCTATACAATGACTTTTTTGATCAATTTTGTGTGAAGCATGATGACTTGGAATAGCTAATTGAAATATTAAGAGAACTATTTTCATGACAAGAGTTACAAAAGAATTCGATGTAGGATCAATAGAAAATTTCATAGTTTTGATTGATTTTCGATGAAGATTGAATAATATTGATTATAACTTGGGAATAATTTCATGATTCTTAGTTTATACTACAAATACGAAAAAAATGCTTAATTCGAATCGCTGGATTTTAATGGTAAACGTATCAAGGAACACTTTTTTATCAAAGAAGTACATGGAAATTTTCAATTTGAGATAGTGGAAAACTTCGTTTACTAAAAATATTTGCTTTTCTATTTAATTCACATTCACATTGGCTGTTCTTATTAGGACCATTTTTTCACTGATTGTTCGAATTGGGAACAGTGGTCTTAAAAAGGACGGACAAGAAATTTTTGTTTATTTTATTATCTCAATCATTCTAAGTGGAAAAATTCTCAACCTTGAGATTAAAATTCCTCGATTGATAAGGAAAAATTTTTGTCACGGAAGCAAAACAATAATTTCAAATTTAGATAGTCAAAACATTCATTTGCTAAAATATTTTACTTTTCTATTTAATTTACATAGACTGTCCTTATTAAAACCAGTTTTTGCTTAGTACTGTTAATAGGCACAGCAATCCCTGAGAAGGACAAATTCTATCATTGACGAACTATCGCTAATTACTCAGCTATTTTTCAAGACAAATAAATGATTTTCTCATCGATTGAGTCAGTAGACCTACCCCTACTTAAACATATTAAAAAAATCCATTTATTGATATACAAATCGTTTAAAAGAAAATGAAGCCTGTAAGATATTTGACAAACTGTTCTAATTAGGAACATGCGCTGTAATTAGTCAAGAAGAAGTTGAGCAAATTTCGGCAGCCCCTTCATAGTATGTCTAATTATTTCAATGGGAGCGGACTTTTCTGTTCCTCCTGGCGACTTCAGATGGTCTTGTTCATTTCTAAGTATGAATTTTCTATAACAAGGCGGATTTTGGTATTTTTAATGATGACCATTATTTCTCATAAGAGGACTTTTATATAGGTGTTTGTGTTTTAATGGAACATTTGGTAAAGTGATAATTGTTTTTGAACCTTTGAGATTGCTGAGTTCATCATGTCAAGTTTAGTTTTGGCCAGAAGCGCCTGGTCTTGTTGTGATCAACAAAGCAGCAAATTGTACATGGGAAACAATATTAAACGGAAGAGAACTTTTACGTTAAGGAAAATATTTTTTCTTTATTTTTTTCCCAACTTTTTCGAAAGAATGATTGGAGAAAATTGAATGCTTCTAAAATCTTAATTTTGTGAGCAGGCGTGAAGTTTTAATCAGCAGCTGAATATCTAATTACGGGTACTAACTTTCATCTTTGCGCTTTGTAGATGGTAAATTATATACTGCTAATGTTCGTTTATTATAAAAAAAAGAAATCATCAATTAACAGCAAGAAGCTTAGCAAGTAAAGATTTACGAAACATATTTGCATTAGGAAGTTGAAGACAGTATATCTTTTCACAACAAAAATAAAATACTAAGAAAATTCTCATTACAATATCGGAGTATAATATATAATATTAGTGAGTTTTGCAGAAGCTACAGGGATTAGCTGCTACAATTCATGCTTAAGAGAGGTTTTGCCAGTGCATCGAACATCCGTTCCTAAGGTCATTTTATGCAAAAGATTAACATAGGCATTTTTTTCTATCAATCGATTCTTCACGAAAACTAGGATTATGAAAAATTAGAATAATAGAATGAACAACATATAAATAAATAAATAGAATGAGATGTAAAATAATATATAAAAGGACAAATGAAAATAAAATTTTCTTTCAAAAACTTGATGTTCATTTTATCTTATTGATAATTCCAAATTTTATTCCAAAAAGTTTTATTGATTAATTTCATTAGTACAACTAATTTGGTATTACATATTGCTGATGATGGACAAAGAGTTTGTCCGAAATATACAATTACAATTATCACAATTACAATTATCAATAAGATAAAATGAACATCAAGTTTTTGAAAGAAAATTTTATTTTCATTTGTCTTTTTATATATTATGTTACATCTCATTCTATGTATTTATTTATATGTTGTTCATTCTATTATTCTAATTTTTCATAATCCTAGTTTTCCGTGGGGAATCGATTGATAGAAAAAAATGCCTATGTTAATTTTTTGCATAAAATGGACATGCTCGATCGGCTCATAAAGCCTCTCTTAAGTTCTAAAGCAAATGTATCAAAAATAAACAATAACACATTAAAAACATATATGAGAAGGAAAGAATTTCATTGGAAACGTCAATATCTATCAAAATGTGGAGCGTTCAGCAAATGCACAGAAATAATAAGTATGAATAGCATTCGGAAAAACAAAAATTAGATGAGTAGAATAAATACATGAGACTATTTTATTGTTACAATATATTACATGAGAAAATTACGAATATGTCAATTTTTATCTAATTTATCTTTTAAGAAAACAGAATAAGCTAAATTTTCTGGAGAAAGACGTGAACGTTCTTTACGTGCTACAAATGCTGAACATGAAAAAGCTGACTCGCTAGGTACACTACTTCCACATGCAACAAGATGTACTTTCGCTAAATTTGACAGAAGTGGAAGTTGAACATAGTGCACTGAAAAAAAAAAAGGTTCCACGCGGAACCTTTTAAGGCCAAAAATGGTTTCGTGCGTGCTACGGAACTTAAAAATAGTTTCGTACGTGCTACGGAACTTAAAAAAGGTTTCGAGATTTGCAACGAAATCTAAACCTTTTGAAGGTTTCGTAGACTTTCCTCGGAACCTTAAAAAAAGTATCCTAGACTCTTTATAAATCTTTTGAAAGCATCTTAGGTCCATACGAAACCTATAAGAAGGTTTCGATTTCGTTGCAAAATAAGTTCCGCGTGGAACCTTTTTTTTTTTTAGTGTGCATTTTCCAAAATTCTAATGCTGATATTGTTGATGGTTTGATTTTCAAATTAAATTCGTTCACTGCTATTCTATAGTATTTAAGTTCTTCATTTATACAAATTCGTTTACTTTTTTCTTTTATATTTTCTACAGCACAATCTTGATCGCCACATGCAGAAATAAAATCATCATACGTTGATATTTTTAATGATTTATTTTGTGAAAATAACTGTTGTAATTGAGGTGTTACGGTGGTTGTTGCAGTCTGTGTAATATCAATCGAATAACTTTTTTGTGGATAAACATCATTAAATATTAAATTTCTTATATATTTTTCACATTGACTTTTTTCAGCATCATTAAGACTTAGATGTGCAGTGGGATCGAAAAAAGCATGATACTAAAATTATAATAGAAAATGTATTACAAAGAGAGTAAATGTTATATTCTGTGATTAAGTTTTATTGCACATAGATAATCGAAATATTTCCACGAATAGTCTTGAAACTAAAAACAAAATTGTATAATCCTTCTTATTGAGTCAATCTAGTGGTGTATACGTATGAGCTTAATCACATTTGATTTTATGAGTATTTAGAACTCACTAATGTAATGGATCCAGTCATTGTAATTAGTGCTATCGATTCACACCTATTTTTCTCATAAAAAAAGACTTATTTGGTTTAGACAGACAACTAATAGTTTTCATAAGTATAATAGTGGCTCAATGTGAATTCATAAGAATGACTATTCTTAAGTACTCTTATGAAATTATATGTGTATTAGCAAATAACGATTTTGCTTAGCGCTGGATACTTTTCCTTTCTTCTTTTTTCTTCTGAAATCAAAAGCTTTTTCATCCAGACTGCATAGAAATTATATGTAAAGACCTCTTCGTTCTTTCAACATAACCATATTTAGTATTACTTTCTGTAATTCGATATATGTTTCTTATAGTTTCTCTACAACAATAGCAAAATTTTAAATAGGATTTCTAGTTACATCTGAAAGAATTGATACACATCATATATTAAACAATTCTTTCATTAGATTAACTATAATAAGTTAAACAACTTGTAGATTTAACTCTATCTTTTTAAACTTATCTATTAATTTATATAGTTTATAATTTACCTGAAAATATTCGAGTTGCTCTATATCATAGAAAAAATATTTGTAGATTTTTGCTAGTATTAACTTTTTTAATTCTTTTATCCGTTCATTACTATCATCATCACAGGTACAAAATTGTTTGAGCTTTTGCACCGTATGATAAGCAAGTCCAATAGATGGATAATTTTTACCAGACATCATAATTGTTCCAAGAAAAAATGGTCTTAGCACATGATGTAATGACGATAAAAAATCCCAATCATCTTTATTTAATTCAATTGATTCTAATTTGTTAAGTTGTTCTTTACGTAATTGTAATGTTTCTTTTTCGACAAATAATTTCATCAATAATGGTTTAGCATCAATTAAGGAATCAATTAAGCAAAATGTTGAGTTCCAACGAGATTTANACACAGTCATTCTAAATGTAAACTCACGTGGATGCTTCATCGATGTCACTAATATCAGTTGAAACATTAGTTCCCAATGTTGCTTCATTTGTTTCAAGTATAACTGATGTTATTAATGATGAATTTTGATTTTGTGTTCTAAATAAAAAAAAAGTAACACAGTTATTCAAAATTTGATCTCACGTAGACAGTTCATCAGATATCGCATTCAGTAACCAATCCATTGTAGCCGTAGTAGATGAACAATAGCTCATGCTATTATTTATTTGAAAAAATTTGAAGAATAAACTATTAATTGGAGTGATTTTAGTATAAAAATCTGGAAATTAGAGAAATATTTGAGAAGTTTTTTCAAAGTTAATTAGATGAAAATTCACACGACAACAACAAATAAATTTGTCGATGTTTTGAAGGAAAAAATCTCAAGTGTCATTTAATAAAGTATAACTTTTTTTATGATCTACTACTATTAATTGGGTTTTGAGATTCTGAAGTTTGTTCTAATCGAGGTTTTTTAACAAAGCAAATAGCTTTTGGTCCACTTGTTTTTTCTGTGCTGGTAACAGTACCATGACCGTCTGCTTCAAGTTGTCGCAATATTGGAAGATATTGTTCTTTTGTATACTTTCGTTTTAAATTTGACGGTAATGCCGACAATAATATTCGATCGCTAGAATGATTTTTGATATAAGATTTGATATGGTCGATATCACTTTGAGGTATTCCATTAATATCCACGTCTATAAAAGAAAAACGTTTTTTATGAGATTTTTATCTTTATATAAAATCAAAATAAAAAAATGAATTATTATTCTGCTGATTTATTTATAAACGAAGATTTGATTAAATTCTGTTTCAGAAAGACTAATTCTTGGATTTTTTCCCTACATACATAAATATTTACATGATAGAATAAATACGAAATTTCTTTCTGCCTTTTATTCGGTGTGATTAAGTTTATCATTTTTACCAGTTACTATTTTGTTACTTATTGGATCATAGCCAGCTAAAATTTTCTTTACAGATAGATAATAATCTACCATTTTTTTTGCATTGAAACAAGTTTCATAATTAATAATCAATTCATTGTCGTTCAAAGAGTCAGCTAATACTAAGTTTTCAAAAAAATCGTCTAATGGCCCAAATATTCCTATTTGATTGACTAAATTAAAAAGTCTTCGAGAAACTATCTTGAGTATATGTAATACAAGCGCTAGTCGCTGTACATGTTCGATTGCTTTTGTTAAATTACTAGAATGAAAATATTAATAAATGTAATTTGTGTCATAATTCAAATTACCTAGCTAAATAATCGTCCTCGTTGCTGAAACTAACAGATTCACAATCATATACATAAATCGTTTCTTTCATAAATGTATAAGCTAAATTATAGAAAAAAATAGGTACAAGAATAATGCTACTGAGAAATGAAAAACCTTCTTCATTAAATGAATATTCTCGTGTTTGTTTGTGTAGTTGATGTGTATAATAAAAGAGATGTTCTAATTTTGGTATTTTATTATCTGGTGGTGGACAATCTCGATTTGGTTTTTGCTTGTAACCAACTGATATTAAAAAACGGTTGAAAAGACCATCATCATTTGTTTCAGCTGTTTTCAAACCAGATCCTAATAAACAATTTCTTTTTGAACAATTTTATTTGTTTAATTAGGGAAAATCTCAAATCGATTTTTTTACGTACAATGAGCATATTAAAATAACGTTTATAGAAAAAAAAATTATAAATTGAACATACCAGTTAAACAGTTAATGGTTTCACGTGGATGTCCAGCTGCTAAAATGCATAAACGTGGTTTCACCATTATATTTGTTCTTGACACTAATTGACGACGAACAATTCCTGTTGGATTATATAATTCACACATAATTCCATGATCATAAGTAGCTCGATCGGAACGAGTACTTCCGAATAAACCCAAAAAAATTGCTAGTTCATCCCATAACTAAGACGTTGAATTATTTTAATGAAATGAACTATTTTAATTAAAAAGAATCGGT